CATCAATAGCCATCATAACTGGCCACCAACATGAGGCAACATCAACAGCTTATCTTGTGTTCTTTGGTGGAGGATTGAAGCAACTTTTGACACGGGAAAAATTAGGTATTTGGCGAGGGAAGAAGTTTGGCTTTGGGTTGTGGTTAAAGTAAAGAAAACGAGAGAACACAAAAGAATGGCACATTGGTATGTGTATAGAAGAAGGCGCCATCATTGTTAATTACCATGAAACAATAGTGGATTTGTGTGCTGTTGCAAGTAGATAGAAAATGGAACTTGTGAAGAATACCCTAAATGGTGAGGATATAAATTACATGCAAACTTGGAGCAGCTATGAAATTGAGTCTTGCTTGCCAACTCAAAGAACATACATACATCCAAAGAGTATAAAGTCTTCTTCCTTCTCTTTCACTTTGAGAAACGGTGGATTTATGCGAGTTGTTTTACATCGATGTTAGTCTCATGAATAAATTGCATGTTTTTAAATGAATGTGTCTTGATTGTTTGGGCTTGATATTTGTTTGTATTTGGGTGTGAATTGTCTTAAATAACATGTTGTGCAGGTCAAAAACCAAAAAAAAAAAAAAGTGTATTATTTATCATTTTTGAAACATAGATTATGAGACAAGTACACATTCCTAAATTAAAGTGACAACAATATAATATTTTCCAATGAACAAAAACTTAGTTTGGACATGCAAAAGATACACATCAACGCTACCAATTTTAACTTTTACAAAATCAAAGTTAGTACACGTCAATTGGAAAGAAAAACTCAAAATGAAATTGAATATCTTACTTTACTACTCCCTCTGTTCCAGTTTATGTAAACCTATTTCATTTTTTGTCTGTTTAAAAAAGAATGACCTCTTTCTAAATTTGTAAACAATTTTACTTAAACATACAATTCTACCCTTAATGAGAAAGCTTTTATAACCACACAAATACTATGAGCTCTTTTTGACTTGTTTAGGGCCACAAGTTCCAAAATTCTTCATTTTTTCTTAAACTTCGTGCCCAGTCAAACATATTCACATGAAGAATTTTGGAACTTGTGGCCCTAAACAAGTCAAAAAGGAGCCCAGAGTATTTGTGTGGTTATAAAAGTTTTCTCATTAAGGTTAGAATTGTATGTTTAAGCAAAATTGTTTCTAAATTTAAAAAGAGATCATTCTTTTTTAAACGGATTAAAAAGGAAATAGATTCAAATAAATTGAAACGGAGTAAAAGAAAAAGAGTTTCGACCTATCTGTTCCCTGTCAATAAATTCGAAAATAAGGATATATTAGACATTTCACCTACTAAAGTATATGCCTCTATCATCAATCTAGAGAAACACATTTTGAGTTCGCCATTTGGCCGGACCGCCGAACAGACACCGCTTTTCGCCTCCTCCTCCTCCAACTCGTGTTTGCTTGCTCTGGAGTACTGAACGGTAAGATTACTGCTTAGGGGACGATACTCCCTTCTCCGCTAACTCTATATGGTACAACATTTTCGGACGCTTGATTTCGATTACTGTCTCAACTTTATTTTTTCTTCTCTTTAGTAACTTGGCTGAGTTATGCTATTTGGATGCCAGGCGATTTTTCTTTTCATTGTTTTCCTTTGGTTCTATTTTAACGTGATTTTTCATCGATGGTATGGATTTTTCCATTCGGTGGATAGTCGAGCTTTTGATAGATTATTAACTTTGTATATCGATTCGAAAGTGGAAATTGTTTTCATACAACACTTATGTTATTTGATTTTGACATTGAATCTACAAAATTGCTTTCATCATTGCCTTGGGATTGAATAGCGAGGAATTAGTCGAAACTCCGAATCCGCCTTCTGCTATTGCGTCCCTTGCTTGTGGGATGCTTCGTCAATTTAGTTCAAGAACATCACTTTCTAAATATTTTTAGTGAAGCTGCTCCCTCGATTGAATGTCGCACTCTGACTTTGCAACTTAGTTTATACTCTTCGCATTTGATGAAAAATTCCACTTTTTCATGTGTTTGTGTTTTCTATGTAGTTGTTCTTTACCTAAAAGGAAGAAAAAGAAAAAGCAATGGTGATTTTTTTACGCCTTGACGGCTTTTTAACACCTAAGTTTTCAAGTTCAGTTCCTAAATTGTGTTGGTAGCTCTTTCCTTTTTGTCTTATTCTTTTATAATTTTCATTACCCAGCTAAATTGCGTGCAAGATAGAATCTAATATCAGTTGTTTTTGGAGTACTTATGTAGGACGGTAATTTCTCTGTACGCCATCCTATGCTCTCTACATAATTATATAAGAGTTATTTTGTGCTGAGCTAAAATCTGGGGAAAAATTATTGTAATGATTGCAGCTGGTTTGTCTTTGTATGTCTTCATGCTCTGCTATTGGAGTTCCAGAACCAGAAGAATCAGCATACAATGCTCCCATTTCTTGTAATGATATCACAAGAGTGGAATAATTATTTTTTCTGTACTGCGCTTGGTATCAAGTATCAACTTATTTAATTTCTAAACTAAGAATAGAAGGGCAAGGACTTTTTCTATGGCAACGATATCGTCACCCTTGTAATTTTCTGTAGCAAGGTATGCTTAATGTTCAATCAAACTGTAAGAAAGATTGGGTTTGCAGTAGTTATTGCCAATTGTTAGAAGAACTTCTCATTCTTTTAAACAAATAATACTTGTGCGTATCATTTTATGAGTAGTATTATTTAGATGAAATGTGCCAGCTAACCTATTAGAGTAGATATCATACACTATGATGATAGATGAAAAGATAAGTTAATATCCACAATAGGATTTTAAATGGACGTTAGAAATATATGACACTTTTCTGTCTTGCAAAATGGTGTCATTGTCTTTGTGTTTTTTATGGAGATATTTAGTGCCTTTCCCAACTAAACTCCTTAGCTAAGTTGATTATTAATAAGTAGAGGCTGCCTATCACTCATCATATCTCCCCTTTCTTTCTCCTTGGCTATAATCTCTTTTGTACTGTAAAAAAAATAAAAGGAGGAGAGTAGAATATTCATTCCAAAGATGGAGGATTAAAGACAAAAAATGGCCGGAAGCACTCCTCTACAGAAAGGATCACGAGAGTTTGAAGATGAAAATGGAAGCAGCAGCATGCGAACGGCTGAGACTATGCTGTGTTTGCTACCCATGAGGCTTTGTGTTGTGGCTCTTGTTATTATGCTCAAGAATTCCCTTACTAATGACTTAGGTTCCCTTTCATACTCTGACCTTGGAACCTTCACGTAACTATTTTATCCTTCTCTTCATTAATCTATTTCTTACAAATTTGAGTTATATACACTAATTGTGTAAAATAAATTAATTGGTTACCACTTTTTATCGAGTTACCAATTAATGTTGGTCATAGAATAAGTTATAATTACTTTATAATTGACCTGAGTGTGTAAATTAGTGAATAGATTAAATTCCTTTGTTGCACACTGAAAAATTGTGGGAAGTTTTAGTTGTCAAAAGATAGATGTGACTTTTAGTGGAAAATGAAGCCAATGGTTAGTGCATTTTTAAGGAATTTGTAGTCATGTCTGATGAGGTTCAAATGTTGAATTTGCTGCAGGTACTTGGTCCATGCAAATGACGTGTGCAGGTTATTTGGGAAGAAAAATTACATATGATTTGCTGATTTTACAGGAAACTTGAAAGGAATGCTTGAAGATTAGCTTCAAAGCTTTAACGTTCATTTTCAATAGTAAGAAGAAGCACAGTCAGTCCTGATTGATTATTCTGAAGTGAAGGGCTTTTGCCAACTAACGACTAGCTTCGATCACATGCATACCTGAATTTGCCGCTACAACCACAAGAACAGCCAGAATTATTATATTTGAGAAGGATATAAAAGTGAACTTTACATAGACAAAGTTCAACTACATTACGACCATGATTTCTTTTGAGTAAATACTATAATGCTGTTAACATTGCCTTGGGCCTGTGCTGACACAGGCCATTCCCACCTAGTATTTCTAAAATGAGCAGAGATTACATTGGAAAATCTTCACATGAACTTAAAAGTGTGGGCCAACTGATGCCTCTGTTGGGTTTGTGCTTTTTACAAACTTGTTTTTAGTTTTATGATTCTACCTTTTTTTTTTACACATGGAATACGTAAGAGATTTATCTTTTACACATAAGAGATTTAAAAGGGTTATTTTCCTAAATTATAAATTGTAATGGAGCATGATGTACAAATAGCATCCTCTACGACATGGGGTTTTAAAATAATGATACATTTTTTTCTCTTTGCTATCTGATACCTCTTTGTGGTAGTGTCTTTAATCTATAAGTTTAAGGATGGAAGTCTTTGGGATGATATAAGATGATATGAGGAGTTATCGAGAGAAAAGAACTATTTTTGAGATTTCCCTAAAGAAATAAGATGAGAAAAATATGGAATTTGTCTTATTATCAGGTGGGAATTAATTGTTTATGGAATTCTTGCTGAGAAAGAGGAGTTAAGTATAAGAAGTTAAGAAGAAGATAAGGGGAAAAAATGGAAAAGTATATTGTCTTGATCCTAATTGTGAAGTTATACATTATCTCCTACCGCAATATTTTCCCTTTCTTTTCTTAGTAAGTTTGTTACCAGGAAAATTCAATACTATTTGTAAATAGTATTATCTGAAAACTAAAATTATATTTTAATCTTAAGGCCCTGCTTTGAAAATATTGCTGCATGTGGCCTAATTTATAAGTTTTATGTTTGTCTTTTAGGTTGCTTATTCGATTTGTAAAGATTAACTTTTTACTATAATATTGTTCAAATAAATATTTAGTTAGATTTTAATTTTCCTTTATGATCGCGCAAAGCGCAAACAAATTTACTTGTTATAGTATAACTATAGTTGCGTTTCTTTCTTTTATGCAAAAATAGAAGGGGCAGAGCTAAAAGTTTGCAGAAGTGCTCATCCAAATGTTAAGTCAATGGATCCAACAACTAATGACTATGAAAACCTAACATTTTGACAGCTAGTATCATGTATACGATGATAGTTTTCCAAGTAAAATTATGCTGCTCTATAAATGAAACTTTGCTTCCTCTTATCAGGACAGTTTCAAAAGAAAAATCAGAGACAATAAATATCACCCCGAGTAAACACAATACAGCTTAGTCCTTGAGAATGAAGCAGAGTACCTGTATGCAGCAATCTAGCCAAACCCCGTTCTCAAATACATCAAGTACACAGTATATGCCTTAAATCCACTCCAATCTGCCTTGATGTTCCACACAATGCTGAATTCTACCAGCAGCTGAGAGTGCCTGGGTTGTTACTTTAGCAGGTTTTGTACTGTACTTCAGTTCGAACTTGGGATATCGCCTCTGATGCTCTTCTCCACTTGAAGGTGTATCCGTTAGGATTTCATCAAAGAACTCATCTGCAACATCTCCATCTTCATCTATCCTAAGACGCTTGGCATACCATCTCAATCCCTGAGCCCAGTGAAAAAAGAGATGATTAAAGATGCAAATTAGAAGCAACAAGTTATCCCAATTTCAGAACTACAAGAGCACAAAGAGGGGAAGTTTTCACCCAACAGGAAACTATTGTTCAGACTTGATAAACAAACAAATTTTTCTAGGTCATGGAAACAGTAAAAGAAAAAAAGTTGTGTTATTTATCTACACCGCTGAAGAACAGAACACCTTTACTGCAGATGATTGCAAACTATCAGTGAAGCTTGATGAGTTTTTCTCGAAAATTTAACAATTTATTACCACACAACCAACGAGTTGAAAGTTGTTTGCAGTACCAAAAACCCAATGAAACTCGAGCTCAACCACCCAAAAGTGCAAGACCAACAAAAAAGAGCTTAACATAAGGTATTCTACCAGCAACAAAGGAAAAATAAAAACAAGAAATATAACTAGGAGTGGCAAACGGGCAGGTCGGGTCGGATATGGTTCGGGTCAAAACGGGTAATAAAAACGGATAAATTATCCGACCCAACCCATATTTAATACGGATAAAAAACGGTTAACCGGCGGATAATATGGGTAACCTATTATCCATGACTTCTTGCATATGATCACTTTTGGGAGAATTCTTAGTCTTCCTAACTTGAGAAACTCCCAATTTGAGGCTTTACAAATGTAAAAGTTAGACTCATTGGTTATCCATTTTCTAAATGGACAATATGGTTCTTATCCATATTTGACCCGTTTTTAAAATGTTCATTATCCAACCCATTTTTTAATGGATAATATGGTTCTTTTAACCATTTTGCACCCCTAAATAAAACAAAAATCATCATCAAAGAAGAACCCACAGACAAAATAAACGGAGCTGCCATAAGCTTAATCTACAACATCTCAAGTGGAACTAACAATAAGGATGAAACCGCTTATAGATAATCTCCACATCATTCCTGAACTAGAAAATCAATGTTTCTTTCCAGGACAGCTGCCTTTTTTCTTTTCTTTTTTGGAGACTGGTAACAATATATTAGAAAAAGCACTAAGGCAGTGCAAAACCATATCTCCGGGTGGGATAGATCAAAACTGACCCATCAAAGTTACAAAAAGCCTAACGTCAACCAAGGATTCTGTGTTCTTTACATGACTTTCTTTACCCCAAAAATAAAATAAAAGAATACAATTCATCTTGATGTTCTAGAGAGGATTGTATCTGTCTTCAAAAACTCTTTAATTCCTTTCTTTCCATACTGTCCACCAAATGCAAGCATGTATCAACCTCCACCATGCCTTCTGTCTGAATAAACCTCCATTGTTATTACAACACTCCAAAAGCTCCTCAATAGTTGCAGGCATGGTCCATCTGGGGCCCACAATGTTAAGGAACAGTTGCCACAATTGCCTAGTGATAGGACAATGCAGGAACAGGTGGCTGTTTGTTTCCAGATTTCTGCCACATAACAGACATCTAGAACATAACTGAAATCCCCTTCTTTTCAGGTTTTCTTGAGTTATGCGTACTTCTCTCGCTACCAGCTATGAGAAACAGGCCACCTTAAAGGGAGCTTTGACTATCCATATATTCTTCCATGGCCGTCTCTCTATGTACTGGCCTGTATTTAAAAGTACAAGATAGGCAGATTTGACAGTGTAGCTCCCACTCTTGCATTTGTATCTTCATGATCAGTGAGACCATTGAAAACTTTCAAACCTTTAAAGAAGTCAGCAATTCTCCCCATTTCCCAATCATTCAACCCTCTTCTGAAAGTGATATTCCAACCATGTTGTTCACGGGCTTCTTCCATTTTAATTTCAGGTATGGTGGCAATACCATAGAATTCTGGAAACACCTCTTTAAGTGGACCATGTCCTAATCAGTAATCACTCCAAAATAAAGTGTTTCTTCCATTACCCACCTATGCTAGTGTTAACTAGAAGAGAATTCCAAAATTGCCAGATAGATTTCCAAACACCAACCCAATATGGAGTATTAACAGATCTTGTGCACCACTATTCAGTCTGGCCATACTTCACACTTATTACCTTTCTCCATAAAGCATTATCTCTTAGTTGTATCTCCACAGCCACTTCATAAGCTAACTTTGATTGAGTGCCTTGAGGATCCTGAGTCCCAAATCCCTTGCCTTTTACGGGTGATAAATGAGTTCCAATTCACCGAATGAATATCTCTCTTATCTCTATTACCGTATTAGATGAAATCCCTCCTTAATGCATCAATTCTTTTCCTCACCTTAACTGATGTAGGGAACAGAGACATGACATAAGTTGGAAGAGCATCCAGCACGGTGTTCACCAAGACCACTCTGCTTCCCAAAGATAGATATTGACTTTCCCAGGTTGCAAGCCTTTTCTTCGCATCTTTCCAGCACCCCACTCCATATTTCTTGAGACTTGTTCTTGGAATTCAATGATAACCCTAATGCCCCATCTGACAGCCAAGAATTGCAGCTAATACTTATATATTACCAACCATATTGACGGGAAACAAGTTACTCCTTCTCCAATTAACATGCAATCCAGACAGCTTCAAACTACTAAAATGAGCCTTAAGTATTTTATTTGCTCAGCATCACAAAATACCAACGAATCATCAGCATATAGTATTGTATGATCTCCAAGCTGCTATCTTCCCTATTTGATACAGAAAAACCTCTTAGCCAAGCATTCACCTGAGCAGTCTACAACATCCGACCCAAACCCTCCATAGCCATAAGGAACAGAAAACGTAACTGAGGGTCACCTTGTCTTACCTCTCTCTGATGCAAAAAAATCTTCTGGGGAACCATTCACAACGATGGAGAATCTAACAGTTCTTATGCAGAAGGAAACCACTACTTTATCTTTCTTATATTTTAAACAGTGACAAGTTGGATACTTAGGAATTGAGATTTAATAAGACATCCTCAGATATAAATACAATAAATCAATAAAAGCCATTCTGGTTTAAAGCCAAGCTTTCAACTGCATTGTAAAATGCCCACCAAGCAAAGATGTGATGTCACAAAAGGTAAATGGAAACAGAGATCTTACACAATCATCAAACTTCTGTTCAGTTAAAGACAGTGCCTAAACTGCCTCTAAAGAATACAAATTTTCCCGTCATAAATGGCTTATAGTTTTCTTTAAACTTCAAATTGCCTAGAAGCAACAAATTGTATAGGTTTAAGCAAACAGAGGGGTCTTTTAGGTGGTCATGTGCACGAGTTAATTAAGCGTGCTCAGAACCAAGAAAGTTGTATTTCACAATTTCAAAGCAGAAATTCGGAACCTGTTCTCCAATTTCAGGAGCTTCTGCATGAGTGCTCCTGCTAAAGATTTTATTCTCTTGCCTACTGTAGATTTTTGAATTATTAGCTATTATGAAAAGTAAACGAGATATTCAATGAGAGGAAGTGAAAGAGGTCGAAACAAATATAGTGGTACGAGTGACAAAGAAGTCTTACGAGTAAGTTAAAATGGCAATGACATAATTTTACCTTCTCACTTCTCAGATGCTCCTCTTTTTTGTTATTCTCAAGAATCCTCACAAATACAAATAAGAGATTCATTATGGGCTGTAGAGACAAAACTCTTAGATACCTCCCCCTATGGCAATGACAAAACTCTTACCAGTTGCTTTTTTTTTCAGACAGACGAACAGTTCACTCTATGCCAAACAGAAGTGTAATACCCTGGTATTTCAATTCTATTGGAAAGCTTAGATTCATGGTTAAGAAATGATATTTATGAAGGAAATTCGATTATTTTTTTCTTAACATTATGAGACGGCGTTAATGTCAAGATGAACGTTAAAAGACCATTTTGAACCTAGTTAAGTGGATATGGTTTCCCTATGCGATAAACAGAATCCTCCGCTGAAATAGATTGCACTCCTTTGATATTAAGCTACCTTTAAAGAAGATTTTATGAGTAAGATGCTAGAGACTTCCGTCGAGACAAAAACAAATAAGAGTTAATTGGTTCGAATCATCCTACGAGAGGCGTGTGAAGTAGTAAAGTATGGAAAATCAAGGTTCGTGTAAAGGAAAAGTGTCTATACCTCTTTCTTTTCTATCTCCGAAGATGACGTGCCTAACGTTATTTTAAGTGAGGGAGAATGTCATAACCCAAAATGAATGAGGGCAATTACGTTATTTTAAGATAGAGAAAAACTGAAAGGGGTTATGGGACGTGGCCCCCAAGAGTTGAAAGAATAGGAAAATCTAAGGGATTGACAAGCTTCAATAAACTAGTAACGAAACATGGAGAAAAGAAATAACTGAAAGTGTTGCTTTACAATTTATACATAAAGTGCAGTAAAAGTGTGGCTTTAGTAAAAAAGGGCGCAAAGAAAAAACAAAACAAAAGTATATCTATAATGCAAGAAAAAAATCTCCAAATGGAACAAGGAAGTCTATGGAAAGCTAGAGACAAGAAGAAGCAGAATTCTAGAGGAGCTTTCAGCTTTAGAACAGGCAACAGAGAACAGAACTCCTACTCAGCCTGAAAAACAAAGTTTTCTTAATATGAAATGAGCTAATGGAAATTGCTAAAGCTGAAGAAACTTCATGGAGACAAAAATCAAGATGCCTATGGCTAAAAGAAGGGGACAGGAATACAAGATACTTCCAAACAATGGCCAACTCTCACAGAAGATACAACTCAATTGACAAGCTCAAAATTGATAATGAGATCACAGAAGACAAGGAAGTAATCAATGAGGAGATCTTGAATTACTACCAGAATCTCTACAAAGAAAGTGAAGAGTGGAGGCCTACTGCCAGCTTTGAGGAAGTAGCCAGACTCACGGGGAGTTGCTAGAAAAAGTGTTTGAAGAAGATGAAGTGCTTAGTGTCATTCAATCAGGTGCTCCTGATAAGGCCCCATGGCCAGATGGTTTTACCATGGCATTCTTCCAAAAATCTTGGGGTTTCATTAAGTCAAGGGTCATGGGGCCCTCAACTACTTCCACCAGCATTGGTACATGGTGAGGTCTTGCAATGCATCTTTCATTGCTTTAGTACCTAAAAAGAAGGGTGCCATTGAACTCGGGGATTTCAGGTCAATTAGCCTTATTGGAAGTGTTTGCAAGATAGTTGCCAAGGTTTTAGCAGAGAGATTGAAGTTGGTTGTTGCGAAGCTAGTCTCTAGCTATCAAAATACCTTCATCAAACAAAGGCAGATAACTGATGCAACTCTCATAGCTAATGAGGTTTTGGATTGGAGGATTAAAACTGGAGAACCTGGAGTTATGTGCAAGCTGGATATAGAGAAGGCTTTTGATAAATTGAATTGATCATACCTAATATCTATCTTGAGGAAGATGGGCTTTGGTGAAAAGTGGATAAAATGTATAAGTTATTGCATCTCTACTGTTAAATATTCAATTTTAATTAACACATCCCCTGTGGGTATCTTCTCCCCTCAAAAAGGGATCAGACAAGATGATCTACTCTCCCCCTTTTTGTTCATATTAGCCATGGAAGGTCTAAGTAAGATGTTGGAAAAGGCTAGACAAATGCAGTGGATTCAGGGCTTCAGAGTTGGCACCAATGCTGGGAATACAATTACTATATCTCATTTACTGTATGTTGATGATACTTTGATTTTTTGTGAGGCAGAAAAAAGGTCAGCTCCTATACCTGAATCTCACCCTCCTACTCTTTGAACCCTTGTCAAGATTACATATCAACAAGCTGAAAAGCACTTTCTATCTAGTCAACAATGTGAACAACATAGTAGAGTTGGCAGGAACTATGGGTTGCAGCATTGGGGCACTTCCTTCCACCTACCTGGGCCTCCCATTGGGAGCCAAATTCAAGAATTATGGAATTTGGAATGGTGTTGTAGAAAAATTTGAAAAGAGGTTGGCCACTTGGCAAATGCAATATTTATCTATGGGAGGTAGATTAACTCTTATCGACAGTGTACTTGACAGCATACCTACCTATTATATGTCTTTGTTCCCTATCCCTAAAAAGGTGTTAAAGCAATTGGATAAAATCAGAAGAGATTTCCTTTGGGAAGGGAATGACAGCTCTCACAAATTCCATTTGATAAAATGGGATAAAGTCATACAGCCGAAAAGCAATGGAGGACTGGGGGTCAAAGATTTAGCAATCCACAACAAAAGTATGCTGATGAAGAGACTATGGAGGTAAGGTACAACTGAGCCAAGTCTCTGGAAGAAGGTGATTGATGCAAAACATGGGAAAAGAGACAACTAGAGCACTAAAATTGCAAATGCCCCTTATGGTGTTGGTCCCTGGAAGTTTATTAGCAAATTGAACAATGATTTTTTCCAGAAGATCCACTTCAAACCTGGCACATCAGATTTTGGAAGGACATTTAGCTGAAAAACACAGCCCTCATGGATGATTATCCTGACATTTTCCTAATTGCCATGGACAAGAACTCCTCAATTGCTCAGAACAGGAGCAACAACAACTGAGATGTGCATCTGAGAAGGTCTGTCCAAGATTGGGAAATGGAAAGTTTGATGGAAATGCTAGCAAGAGTGGAAAGCTACAGCATTGATGAAGATCTTTCAGACACTATGTGTTGGGGTAGCAAGGGTATTTTCACAGTCAAAGAGTGTTACAAGCAAAACTGCACTCAAAACCAGGTGCTTGATGCTGGCCATGGAAATTGATATGGAGGACCAAATTACCTATTAAGGTTATATGCTTCAATTGGATTGCATTATATGAAGCTTGTCTAACACAAGACAACTTTAACAGGAGAGGATTCCAGCTGGTCAACAGATGCTACCTTTGTAGGAGGAATCAGGAAACTCTCAGTCATTTGTTCCTGCACTGCCCAGTTGCCACTGATATATGGAATATGTTCTACAGTATTTTTGGTCTGAGCTGGGTTATGCCTCAAAATATGAGACATGCACACATTAGTTGGAGTTTGTGGAAAGTTGATAAGGCCATCAAGAAAATCTGGTTGATGATTCTTGCAGCTATTTTTTGGTGTTTATGGACAGAGAGATAGAAGATTTTTGATAGCATCTCAACTTCAAATCACTCTCTCAAGGCAAAATGCCTACTTGAACTTTTTTGCTGGACAAAATTGTCCGCTGTAATTAGTACCGGTCATTTTTTGGACTTTGTTAGTACTCTTGTCCTAGATTGACACTTTGTATAGGGCCTAGCTTCTCCTTTTTGTTTTTGCCTTTGTAACTAAGCCTCATGTAACTATGTAACTATGCATCTTCTTGATGCTTTTTTAATGGAACACCTTACTTCATTAAAAAAAAATTCAAAAAATTCTTAACAATTAATATCTCTTTGTTTATTATATCTATTGTCTAGTAACTATTCAAGATAGAACGCTGGTGACTAAGGCATGCACATTAGTGTCTTGTCTACACTGAAGTGCAGCTTAAGCGAGATGAAGTGCCTTCCTTAAGCTTTTTTGAGCTCCAGGGCATAACTGCGCCTTAAATGAGGCTTTGACAACACTAAGAAGTTCCTCAAATGAACTCATAAACTGGCATAAAAAGGGAATTGTGCATGACAAGTTTATTTAGTTAATTATATGTTTGCAATTGAGGATGTATTAAAATATGCCCTAGTACACTTTCTCTCTCCCCTCTCTCTCTCTTCCCCCCTCCCACCAATGACTTTTTGGTTTTGGCCCCATATGGGACAAGCTTTCTTTATACAAAAATGAGACTCTATTTTTTCCTTATTACAACAATTATTATGCCTCAATCTCAAACAAGTTGGTTCAGCTTTATGAATCCTCACAGACATGTTATTCCATTATTTCATTTAAACTCATCTCATGCCAAATATTATGCAAAGATAAATAAGAAGTATTAGAAGTTCTCTATATTTTCTAAAAATATAAAAGCTTGTTTGGCCAAGCTTATAAAATCAGCTTGTTTTAAAAAATGCTTTTCAAAATAATACTTTCGGCAAGAAGCAGTTTATGTTTGGTTAATCAATTTGAAAAGCACTTTTGAGCAGCAATTAGTGTTTGGCCAAGCTTTTTTTTTCTTTGTGAACAAACTCAGTCCCTTAGATGTGCTTTTAAACAGTGCTTCTAAGTGTATTTTCTCAAAAGTGCTTTTAAAAAATAAAAAAAAGAACTTTTGGTTAGAAGCTACTTTTGTTAGCTTCTCAAAAACAACTTTTGCTTCTACTCAAAAGTACTTTTTTCCTTCTAAAAGTTTGGCCAAACACCGTAACATTAGGGGAAAAAACACTTTAGGCCAAAATAAAAGCACTTTTGGCCCAAAAAAAAAAGAATTTGGCTAAACAGGATATAAATCTTTGAAAGGCTAAACTACTTCGAGAACGCATAGAAGAACAACAAAAGAGTTAACATGTGTAAAAGATCTTAGATGTGAAGGCTAGGATGGATGTATTGTCATATAAGAAGAAGATTAGAAATGCTCACATACGCGAGAAGTTTCAAGTAGCACATCGAGCACAAACAATAAGAAGGTTGCTTGACATGATTTGGTCATGTTTTGCATCGATCTCCAGATGCACCGATCTATAAGTGTGAAACCATAGTGAGTGAAGGTGCTAAAATAGTATGGAGTAGACCTAAAATCATATGGAAGAATTCGAAGGACCTACAATCTCCCGGAATCCATATAGATTTAGCGAAGGAGTGGTCTCATGTTGAAGTGCTCTATACAATGACGACAACATTGACTGCCTTACTTTCCCCTTTCTTGGAGCTACCTTTAGATGCAATCTTTTAAAGTATATTTTAGAGGCAAAAGAAGGTAGTTTCCCTGGCAATATACTCTAAATGTTGAACTAGCCTACTTCCACAGTACTGCACTACTCTCATAAGTCATAACTTTCTACCAAGTGAAACCCCTTCCATCTTATTTCAACAATTTGGATAGAAAGCATATACGGAATCTTCCGATGACAATCCGATTTAGCTAGGTGAAGTTCAAGCTCCTTTATCTAACTTATAGAAACTTCTGTGAGGGATGGATACCAAACTAGATATGTATGGCTACACTTTCCAGAGGTGGACTCATCTTTGCCTATATGTCAACAGAAGTTACTTTCAACATTTAACTGCAAAATAAGGAACTCCACATTCCCTCTACCGAAGAGATTATACAACTGGGCCCTCCACGACACCTCTAGCAAGCATCAATGGTAGTGCTACTTTGAGAATCTTGCCAATGGTTAATTTACACAAACCGCTTCCCCTCTAACCCCATTATCTCTTTCCTAGCAGTCTAGCACCAACATTAGCACCTTCTCTTTACACAATTTTCGGCCACCTTGCACCTTCCGCCAAATGGCTTATCTTATCTACATTTATGAGTTTGGGTCTGATTGGAGTTTAACAAGAAACAACACAAACTTCTACCTGTTTATATACATTGCTTTCTTCAAGTTCAACTACCGCTTGCTACTTTTCATTTTGATAGGAGTAGGTGCTTGCAGCTTAATCTTTGTTTACTAAATGAGCCTTCCTTACCGCCCGTCCGCGATATTTAATCTTAAATAAAGTGAAGTCAGCACACACACACAACCCAAAATTATCAAGTATAGGATCAATGAACAGCCAAACACTAACTGCTCAAATGCAATCTTCTCTAATTGTGTACTTCAATGTGTGTAACAAACATAACAAACTCTTTAGGTGCACTGATAAATCGTGGTTAACGAGCACATCATTTCGAGATTTTAAATGGAGATAGCATTAACTCATTTACCACGTTTCAAAGGCATTCTTCCATTGGTTAGTAGAGTGAATTTTTTAAATAAGAATACTAACTCAGAACAATACAATTAGGATTTATGAGTCCGTTTAAAGCATATCAACAAAATCAATGTCAAAATTACAAATAAATGAATATAATCTCCGTTTAAATACCTGAACGGCACCGTCGCGTGAACTACAAGGAAAGAGGATTGGGCCGAATTGTGCTTTCTCAACCGGGACTTGAATTGGGACACTGAAACCCCTGCGTGGAACATTTTGAGCTTGAGCTGCCGCAACTACTGCTGCTATATTACCGTCGGTGTTATCTTCTACATCTCTCGCTTCTTGCCCTTCTTCTCTTGAAAACCCTAGAAATCCAGCTAGTCTTCGCAATAATCCCATCCCTCTCTATAAGAATAGCGACATGCATTAGCGAGAAATACGGCGAAAACTACTTAAATGCAAACACCGTCGGGATTGGCGAGTTTTGTGAGGCCAGAGATATTAACGCAACGACGATCTCGCCGGAAAAAATTGTAGTCTTGGGCCTCTTGGCGTTGGACTGATGACTTGTGAAATTCAAAAGTAGGGATGATGACGTTACAAGTGCCGACCGGCGGAAAAAATGAAGGGACAATTACAGTGTATATCACCCGACCAAGTTCTGTATCCATAAAGAGCCCATATTTTGGGATTTTACATCTTGAAATAAAAGTTTTAATGTTTAACCCAAACAATCTTTACTCATCTCTTCTAGATTTTCTCCTCTTCTTCTCTCCACTCTAGTGGTCACCTCTCCTAAGTTTGTTGTGAAGTCAAGATTTTAATATCCAAACCAAAATTAGGTTGAGAGAGTTAGAAGCTTTTCAGATCTAAAAATTTATGAAAGAATCGTGCTCAAATTCGAGTGGGTGCTATTGAAATTAATTGATAATAGTCCAAAAAGCTTCAACCTAGAGATTTGGTTCAGTTGGACTACTTTGCAACTCTTTGAGAGCGAATTTGGTGAGGTAAAATTGGGAAAAGAACTGGGTTCTTGATTTTTATTGAAATTTCTTCAAGATTGAAATTCTGGATTGAAAAAACCGAACTGGGTTCTTATTTTTGTTGAAATTTCTTCAAGATTGAAGTTCTAGACAGAGATTTTAAGCATATTCCAATTTATGAGTTTTTTTAATAGACATGGGGAAGATGTATTTTGGTGAAAAAATCAAATGGGTGTTGATTAATATCGGTGAAATTATTTGGGTGAAGCTAAAAATATCAAAAAAGCTTTTAGTAACTAGAATCTAGAGTACTGGATTGATTGAGCATGATTAACATTGGTTTTGAGAATCATACCAGTTGAAAAAGGAAATTGAAGGTGAAATTCAGTTTTCATATACAACATTATACATCATTATACAATATTATACAGCATTATACAAAATTATAATAAGTGTATAATATTGTATAATGTTGTATATTAGGTGTGTAAGTAGTGTTATACAACATTACTCTTTCTATTCGCGATTTCTGTTCGACTTTGGTGCAGTGGTCTTTCTCTTTTAAGTAAGTTCCTATTTCACATGTGCGTTAAAGCTAATTTTGCTTTTCTGTGTTGGTTAAATACTAGAATACATTATTATACATTCCATATATGAGTTTATACTAAGTTATACATTTTTATACATGTACAACATATGTGGACTTAAAACTGAAATTAAATTTTTTCTTACTTTTTCTCTAACAATCGATGTATAAAGTCAATTTTTTTGTTGATTTCTCTGCCAAATTGCGAATTTGTAGCCATTTTTTTCAATTTTATTTTTTATTTCTTTTGTTTCTGCTATTTAGAACTCAGGACAGAAGAAAATTTAAATTTTTTTCAAGTTGTATTATAGTTGGTTTGCATTGTTGTAATTGCAATAGGAATGTATATGATCGATTTAAGTTGGTTGTGTGCAAAGAATAAAAAAATCACATATAGATTTGTAAAATTATATCCGGACAATGATGTCATATTGTGAAACTTTTATGGGCTACACGGATGAAACTTAAAATGATGGCTATGCGGATGAAAAGCACCTATGCTGACGGTACTTTTATGCAATTATCCCAAAAATGAAATACTTTTTACCAAACATAGATGGCCCATTTTGACCGCTTTTTGTATCATATTTTAACTTGTGCCCGCTTTGCAAAAAAAATTGCAAGCGTACCCGCTTTTTCGCATAACTTCAGCATACGGGACTGAAGTAGCAAAGGCAATCACGCAAAACTTCAGCATTCTAGTAGCGGGCCTGAAGTTTAGCTCTAGAACTGAAGTTTTTGTGTTGTAACTGGGAATCTTCAGCTCTAGAGCTGAAGTTTTTTTACCACCTATTAATATTACATACTAGAGTTGAAGTTTTTTTACCACATATTAATATTACATACTAGAGCTGAAGTTTTTGTGTTGTAACTGGGAAACTTCAACTCTAGAGCTGAATTTTTTTTACCATTTATTAATATTACATACTAGAGCTGAAGTTTCCAGTTACAACACAAAAACTTCAGCTCTAGAGCTGATGTTTTTGTCTTTGTAACAGGGAAACTTCAGTTATAGAGTGTTCAATATAGCAACATGCATAGCATTTTGTCCATTGTTGTTAAGCATTTCTGATCAATCTGGACAGTAAGAAGATGCTCGTTATCTATTTGCAACACACGGCATAGCATGAATTAGGATCAATATGAGGGAAACCTAACTGCTTCTTCGTTGCTCATCATTCTTTTTTCTAAAGAAACAGCCATTTAGGTAATACTATTAGTTTTTTAAACGACACATTTAATCACACAGAAAGAGCAAATGCAATTTTATCACCATTCACCAGCCATCATCTAACTAGTCAATTGAGGAATAACAGCGAACTTGGAAATTTCAATGATGCCAAAATCGTAGGTTTTTATATTGTTATAAAATTGAATAAGAATGAGAGTCCCTAAAGAAGAAGAAGAAGAAGAAGAAGAAGAAGAAGAAGAAGAAGAAGAAGAAGAAGAAGAAGAAGAAGAAGAAGAAGAAGAAGAAGAAGAAGAAGAAGAAGAAGAAGAAGAAGAAGGAGAAGGAGGAGGAGAAATGGAGCTGAAGTTATTTAAAAAGTGGGTACAAGTTGAAAGTTTTTTAAAAAATGGGTATAGGTTAAATGGGGGCGACCAAATAGGGCGCCCCATGCAATTTTTACAACATAGATTGCCCATAAAAAAATTCTTTTTTCGAAATATTTTATCAAAAGTGTGTTTGTCCATGAAATCTTACAAATTTTTAGAAATTTTGGAAAACAAATTTTTTAAAAATTTTCAAAAAAAAAAACATTTCTGCTCATAAAACTGTAACATTTTTTTAAGTGAAATACGTGTCCAAATATAATTTAAAATTTCAAATATCATTTTTCAACTTAACTTCAAATACTACTGTAATAAGATGAGTTTTTGGCCAATATTGTCCCTTATCTTTGAGAGTAGCTCTATTGTGGTCCCTCAAATATAACCCTAAGCATATTTAATCCATTGAGTATGCTAAAGTGGACCAACTTTAGTCTCAATGACAGAATCTGCCCAAGATTAATTACGGGGTTGGTTTCGGCACTCATTGTCTTTTAATTTACTTATCGAAAATATTTTATAAACCAACACCCACTAATAGTACAAAGCTGATAAATTTAAGATTTTAACGTTGAAACTTTTACTATTAAAAATTTCGGTTGATATTTCCAAAAAGAAAAGTTAAAATTTGAAAAAATAGAGCTGCCAAGATAACTTCTAGCCATATTATTGAAGCAAACGAATAATCAGGCTGTATTATCACTTTTAGACCGTGCCAGAAACTATTTACATCTGGTAGCCGAAAAAGTATATGAAATTTGTATAATTTTTGTATATTAATGATAAGTTATGCATCTTTTGTTTTGACGATTAGACAAACTTTATGAGAGAACCATATAAGGAACCTGTTACACATTTTCAAGATCTTAAGATCGAAAGGTTCCAGTTTGGGATATGTTTCAAATCTCCAGAGTTGAAGGAACAGCTGAAGGATCAGGTCCCTACCAGTTCCCGAGGTGAGTGTACAAGTCAACTCCCCCAGCTATAAAGTTGCTAAAAGGTTCCAGTTTGGGATATGTTTCAAATCTCCAAAGTTGAAGGAGCAGCTGAGGGATCAGGTCCCTACCAGTTCCCGAGGTGACTGTACAAGTCAATTCCCCCAGCTGTAAAGTTGTTGCATGCACACGCTACAGTGCAGAAACAGTGCAGCAGTTAACTTTATGGAGAATGCCCTTCACCTAACATGCTTGCATCATCCAAGTGATGTCACAAATGAGATATTAACATCAAGCAAAGGTAAAATAAATCACTCGCACATTCAAGAACTTATCAAGCATGCTCTCAAGTGTGTGTTCATCTTGCAAGTGATTCTCAAGGGCATCAAGAACAAAGAACAACATAGCAACGGACCAGTTCCCCATATTGAGTTATTATATGTCCTTAGTTGTGTTATATATTTGTTGAAGTTCTTACTTGTAATTCCCACTTAGCTTACTTAGAAGCATTGTGTAGGAAACCTTTTCTAAATCATAAACCATTGTGTTTATGTCTTGGCAAGAGTCAGTCGAGTTGTGAAGTCTTTGTAATAGAGTTATTACAAAATGGCTTGTAATAGTGTTGTTACAAGTTAGTGAGTGATTAAGTCTTTGTAATAGAGTTGTTACAAAGTGGCTTGTAATAGTATAGTTACAAGTTAATGAGGGAATAAGAGGTTAATTCCTAGGTTACAATAGGTTATAATCTAAAGATTGCTCAGTAGTGAAGTTGAAATCCTACAAGGGTAGGTCGTGGCTTTTAATCCAGTTGAGCTGAGAGTTTTCCACGTAAAATTTCTCTATGTTCTTTATTTATTGCCGATTTACTGTGGGAACAGATAGAGAACCTAGTTCCCTATACAGTTTTGTTTTATAATCTATTGCTTACTGTGGGAACTGATAGAGAATCCGGTTCTCTATACAGTTTGGTAGATGCTTAGTTTCTATCAATTGATATCAGAGCAAGTCATATCGAAAAAGTTAACACCTAGAAAGGATCTACATGGATGCTCCACCAAACTTCAAGGAAAGATTTCAGAAAATGGTTCGTAGAAATGGATGGATTCCCAAGAATGGTAGCTTTAGTAGAAAAAATGAAGGATATGATTATTGTCACAAGTGCAAAAAGCCAGGACATTTCATAAAAGATTATCCTCTCCACAATCCGGACCATTACAAACACAATGCTTATAAGATGGTTAAGAGGAACCCGGTACCCGATAGAAAGTTCAAGAGAAGAGATGTCGCTAATAATATTGTAAAGCAAGCTCTGGATGCCTAGGGAGATTCCTCTAGTGAATCTGAGGGTGATGATGAACAGGCAGACACCTCCTTGATAAAGATGCCTTAACTGTGGAACTGGGAGAAGCAGAACAATCGAAAGGAGATTTAGTAGTTATGGTGGTAGACTTAGAGGAAACCATTGAGAGTCTGAAGAAAGAAAAAGATGCCTTAGCTGAAAAAATTGCAAACATAGGACATGAGAGAGATGATCTAGTTGTTGTTGTGGTCAATCTAAAAGAGACCATTGAGTGTGTTAGAAAGTAGAAAGAGGTTTTAACTGAGAAGGTTGCTAACATTAAGCATAAGAGAGATGACCTATTAGTGGTAGTTGTAGACATAAAGGACACTATTGAGGAACTAAAAAGGGAAAGTAGGCCTAGGAACACTCAAAAAGGAAAGGAAGTTACAAGTAAGGTACACCTTAAGCTTGAAAATGAGTTAAGATTAGTGAAATTAGTTTGTGTGCCGAGCTTGAGAAAAACAAACAACTTCAGGAAGAACTAGGAAGAGTAAAGAGTGATCTTGAAAAATCACTTATGTGGGCCTGGTCCTCTGATGTTATCACTGCCTTGTACACAAACAATGGGGGAAACATGCAGGGAGTCGGGTTCCAAAGGGAAAAGACTCCCTACAACCCTCATAGCAAGTACGTTACTGTACTTGACAATTGGCTTTGCACTCATTGTGGCAATACTAGGCACTTTAAGGAAACCTGCAAGGCCA